CTATGCCGAGATGCTGGTGGTCCCCTCCAAGCTTGTTCCTACTGTGAAAGCCCCGGATGGAAAAAAGCGCCCTCGCATTGTCCTATGTGGAAATTTGATTGAAGACACTGCAAAGCGAACAGGGTTTCCTTGTGGAAATGGAGTTGAAGCGGTGGATAGCAAGGGTCAAAAATCCTTTGAGCCCTAGGGCAGTGGCATTGATGGATCCTCTTTCAGGTGTGCCCTTTGGAAAGCAGCGCATGAGCAGTGGGCTATTGGAATCACTGACGTCTCGTCGGCTTTCCGTTTGGCTCCTCGCAAGTCGGGGAGGTTGATGGTGACCAAACCTCCATCCATCTTGGTGGAAGCAGGGCTCATGTCTCCAGATACCCGGTGGGTGGTTGAGGCGGCGGTCTATGGCCTGGACAGCTCACCTGCAGACTGGCAATCGTATAGAGACGAGATGCTGCAGAGCCTTGGATGGTGGTTGTCAGGGGTGCACTATTGGGTCAATCCCACTCCGGAGCCTAATGTTTGGCGGTTGATGCCTGTGAATGCCATAGAGGATTCATATGTGGATGACTTCATTGTCATGGGTGCCCCAACAGCAGCTGGTGAGTTCCTGAATAAGCTGGCTTCCACCTGGAAGTGCTCAACGTCGACTTGGGTAAGTGAAGGGGAATGGAAGAAGTTCTGTCGGGTGGAGGTGAAATGGCAAGGCAAGGACCTGCTGATTGGACAGCCGGACTAGAGGAGACAATCTCTCCGAGCTGTGAATTTGTGCGAAGCGGTCATCGGGGAATTGCTTTGGCTGTCAACCAGAACTAGGCCGGACCTCAGCTATGCCGTTGCCTACCTGGGAGCACAACACGAAGACGCCAAAGAAGGTGCTGGATCTGAGCACCACCTTGGACTGTGCCTTGGTTTACTCACCATGCTCTGCCACCTTGGACCAGTATGGTCGTCGAGATGATTTGAGCCGCTTGGATGTGATGTCGGACGCTTCATTCGGTCCTGGCGGTGGAAAGGGCCATCAGGGCCTTATCGCTCTCTGGGGGGGGGTGCTTTGGTTGCCTGGGAGTCGAAGGCTCAGGCATTTGCAACCTTGAGCACCACGGAAAGCGAACTGATGGGATACACTGACGCCCTGACTCTTGGCAAGAGCGTGGGAGCTGTGGCAAATGTCCTGGAGCTCAACGCCTTGGATCGAGAAGATTCGAGAAGGTGCATACACCCTCACGTTTTGCGAGAACGAATCCATCGCAAGCTGTGGGAAATTGAACATGGGCCCGGGAAGGAGCTTTGTTGCGACCTGTAATCCATCACCGTGGTGGGACTTCGTGACGCTGCACTACACCCGTCTGAGCCATGTACAAAGCGGTTGAGATTGAAGACCGTAGTTTGTGCAGCAGCAGCCGCTTTGGGATTTTGTACAGGGCAGCTTGCTCGCACCAGCTTGCTCGCACCGCAAGTTCGGTAGGTTTGGCAGCTCTCACCTTTTTTGTAGGAACCTGTACCAGACGGCTGAACGCCAGTCCACAACACTGCAGTTCGAAAGCGGGAACATGATTGGAACAAGATGGCTGAGGGAAAATGAACCCAGCCAGATTGGAAATAACATTGAAACAAGATGGCTGAGGGAAGATGAACCCAGCCAGCTCGGGGACGCTCGTCGTTCGATCTCGCTCGATCTTTGCCACCTTGGCGCCTCAGGCGCGACCGTGCAGCACGCGCCAGGCATGTGGGCTCTTTGCGCGTCTGCGCCCTGCAAGCCCCAATCAAACACGTGGGATTGGGCACTGACTGCCCGTGGGAACTGGCTCGATTTGCCGAGTGTCTTGGATGTGGAAGTGGAGGAGGTGAATGGTGGGTGAGGGTCTTGAAAAAGGCCAGAGTCCGAGCTTACCATCCATTGCATCAGGGGAACGCTGATGGCCATTGGCAGCCCCTCAAGCACCCGCATCACGGTGGCCTTTTCGCGTGGCAACCCTCGAGAGGTGTGGAAACGGAAGGTGGTCAGCGACAGCTGGGTGGAGAACCGCAATTGTGACCTGGACGGCATCTATGAGTGGTGTGGCTACGCCTTCTTCTATGTGAAGTTTGGGCCCCAGGATGGTGGGGAAGCGGGAGATGATCCTGCAGCCCGAACTCAAGGACCAATCCCCCGCCGGGATCGGTGTCGGCGATTCGAGGCTATGGAGGCTCGGAATCCCATTGGTCTTGAGCAGGTGAACGAGGAAAAGCGATTCTGCAGGATGCTGGCCAGACTGACAGCAAGCCGGCCCTGGCGTATGCCGGGAATGCAATCAGTTCTCGTGGCAGTGCGTCCTCCGATGGTGGCCCAATGACTGGATATGAGTTGAGATTGCATAGATGCGAACAAAGGGGGGAGACCTCAGAAGGTCTCATGGGCTTACCGCCTGAAGCGGACACCATGCCCTGCTGGATGGGAATTGCAACTATTCCATCCGGACCAGCGGGACTGGAGAAGCCGGAAGAAGATTCGGCATCTGATGGAAGCTTCTAGCTGTGCAGCGAACGGTAGACGAAAAACCCTACAGCGAGCTCACTTTTCAGAAATGCTGGCATAGCCAGCAGGGGGAGTGCAAGATTGGAATTGCACTTCCTTTCTTTTACGTGAAAGAGCATGAACCCATACACCAAACAAGGTGAACATGGTCATTGCCGACCTTTGATGCTGGCTCGAAAAGCAGGGCGACCGTGTCTTGCTGTTTTCACGTTCTCGTGGCTTCGTAGTTTCAATTGCATGCAGCATGAGGGGGTGCGTTTCACAAAGAAAATGGAGGAAGGTATTTTGCTCAGAAGCAGGTATGCAATTCTATTTCAACCGAAACACTACATTAGTATAGGAAAGTGTCAGATACATCGAATTCCAACGGAGTTTTGCTACGGAAGGAAACTCTAGCCAGAAACATTAATTGCTACCTTTTTTAAGCAAACAAGTACAAAAACAGGATACCCGAAAAGAGTATTCGAAGATGCCACCTAACCTGCCAACGAAGCAAACGTTTCAGGGAGCTAGCTGGGACACGCTTCTTGATGCTGATGGCAGTGAGCAAGCCAAGCCTTTGTTTGGCTGCACTGGGCAATTTGTTGTATTGGAGACTGCGCACCATAGAGATTGCCAAGTCAGTCTGGGCACGCACGGACCTGCGCCAGCTGAGAACATCAGAAAATATGCCGGTTAAAACGCCAGAAGACACGCGAAGTAGAATGCCAGAATTTGCCAGATAGAATGCCAGTAAGGATGTCAAAGCATATGCCGGAGCAAGTTGCAGGTTTGATGACAGAACAAAGGTCGGAATACAATGGAATACATGGCAGCACACATATCAAAACCAAAGTCGGGCTTTATGTCACAACACCTGTTGGAGGACACGCATGCGAGAGCGCCTGTGAGAAGTACATGCCTTTACATGCCAGAAGATTTGGCAAAACACATGTCCCAGAACACCTGGCAACAAGGACATCAGAACACGTTCCAGAACATATCCCAGCCTTTATGATAGGAGCGTTTATTAGGATAGTTTGTCAATACGTGCGTTGCATGTTGGTTTCGAAACCTTCCAACCGCAACAACAAACACCAAGGAAACACACCAAGAAGAAAGAAACAAAGGTTGCGGCATTTTGCTTCTGAGCCAAACCCAGCATGCATGTTGCATGTGCTGCGCCGCATACCTCAGCTGTGTGCGCGTGGGATGTAAAGGTGTGCCGCATACCTCATGTGTTTGCGCGCGCGGTACGTAAACAATACGCATGGAACGTAAACGTAAGTGTGACCCGTGTGAAACAAACATATGAAGAATGCAACGCCACATTCAACCCACCAGACACCAGATGTGTTTTGTATGCGTGTTCGCGCATGTATATACATATATATATATGTGTGTGTGTATTATATGAATATGAAGTACCAATTGTGTTAAATATCTTCGAGGGGTTGCATGAGGTTGCATGAATGTATGCGGACTCAAACCAATGAAAAACCCTAAGAGCCGCGGTGCCGTTATGGCACAACGGCACCCGACACAAGGGGGCCATAGTTTTTTTTGGTTGATAAATTTTGCAACACATGCAGATGCTTCAAAATCTTCAAGGTACCTTCACCCTGGTACTGTCGAAACGTAGATGTTGTCCAATAACAAGTGCCAGGGGGCGGTGCCATGTTTTGTGCGAGGAATCACTGAAACTTGGTTTTTTCTTGGTGCGACAGGCCCTAAGAGCCGAATCAGTAGCACGGCTGCCATGTTTCCTGCGTCAAAACTTGTCGCAGAACCTTGGGGGCAACCCTGACGACTGTCCGTCGTAGTGCCGTAGAATATGCCGTAGTTGTCGTCGTCGGGCGGCTGGGCTTGCAGAGGGTGCTGCAGCACCTTCGGAAGGGTTCTGCACTTGGGCACTGCAGCTAGTGCAATGTGCGGGCAGTAGACACTGTAGATGCCAAATGAGCCGCTCTAAAAACCTGCCTTTACATCTTAAGTAAGGACCTTGTCATATCGAATTCCGCGTAAGCAAAACCTTGGGTTGCGCAAGACTGCGTAAGCATTTCGCGTAAGCATTTCGGAAGTTTGCTCTGCGTAAGCAAAAGTGAGGGCCGCGTAAGCAGCGCGTAAGGCCTCGCGCAAGGAAAGTGATACGACATAGGGAGTGACTGCAGGTTTTTAGAGTGGCTCAAATGTAGATATAATTAGGTAGGATCGATTAGGTAGGATAATTAGGTAGGATCAAATATGGCAATGGACAAATGTAGTGGTTGTCCGTTATAGTCATAGTTGATTTATGTTGATTTTACCAGAGGTTTTCCATGCAGTTGTTTCGTCGTTTGTTCAAAACACGTGGTAAAATGGATATGTGCAATTGTTTTCGCACGGGTATGTTTTTCTTAATGGCAAGTGTTGTGTTTTGTTTGTCCATACTGTTTTGGGGGGGTTCACTCCTAAAAAAACTGTGGAAGAAGAACTTACAAAGACAAGCACACGGGTCCATGCACCTGGAGAGGACCAATACTTGGAGGGATTGATGTCAGCTGATCCGCACTGGCCTGGCAAGCGGGTGGATGTAGCCAGACGGCAGGCGCGGGGGACAGTCGAAAACCATGGGGAGCACGCAGCATACGTTTCTGGTACTCTTATATATATATATATAGCAGGCGATCAAGAGCTGAGGGTTTCCAGATATCCTGCAAATCTGAATTGGATCCACCGGACACGGAGCGGGCACCAGGACCTCTACCAGGTTTAATGGAATGAAGAACCAGCCAATCACATGCTTATGTGTAGTTTTCAAGTCCTGGTGGGCACCAGTCAGAAGAATGCTCCACAGGTGACCTTGGCCCAGAAAATCATGACTGAAGCGGCCTTGTATGCGTATGATTTGCGCAGCAGCGACGCGGAGTTGAACGCTGTTGTGACCAAGTTTGAGCAGGCGCCCGATGAGTGTACAATGAGTGCACAATTGCTATGATTTTTCAATACCACTGTGCAGACTGTTCAGAATCATAGCAATTGTGCACTCATTGCGACAGATGATGAACACATATTTTATCGCAATTGCGGCAGAAAGATTGTGTTTTCATCATCATCATCATCATCATGATCATCATCATCATCATCTTTCTTTCATACGCTCTTCGGTCGAAGATCGCGTGGACCCGTTAGTCCATCTGGTGCCCCGTGGGGCCGAAACCTCAGCTAAAGGTCTGGTCCAGCAGCCGAGCTAGTGTGGATGCTCTGGCTGCTTCTTTCTGATGGGACCTCAACTGCAGATGCAAAATGGCGAACTGCCTCAGGCATGGGCAGACGTGGTCTTCTTCTAGACCGGTGCCAAAGAAAGGCTGACAAGCGCACCACCGCGTTGGGTGGGCGTGTGAAATGAAGCTCACTGCACTCTTCTCCGCCAAGGGGGCAGCCTCGTTCCACCAGGTTCTATGTGCCACCTGCAGGTGCCCATTCATGTCCCGAGGCCAGCTGCCGCAGGTAATGCATTTTTTCACAAGTCGGTGGCAGAGGCTGGGATTGTCCACAAGGATCTTGGTGTCCAGGAGATCAAGGCTTCGTAGCCATGCTCCATGCCAGTTGTCGTTGATAGTCGGGTCATGGATGATGTTGTGCATCTTCTCCTCCTCGGTCAGGATGGGTGATTCGTCTGCCATCTTTGACACCTCTTCTGCTCCACCGTGAGGAGTGCAGTTCAGCCAAAGCAGGCAGCTGTTTTCTTGAGCCACCAGCGGTAGTGCCGAGAACTTGACCGGCTCATTGGAGTCGTCGAAGATCCACCACCAGTCCTTGTCCTTGATGGCGGTGCAATAGTGCCCACTTGTTGCTTCATCTCCAAGATGATAGGAGACTCCGGTGACCACAAATGGGATGTAGTCCACCTCGAGCTTTTCGCCCAGAGAAAAGGGCAGCCAGACCTTAGAGTCCCATGTCAGGCGGTTCTTGCTTTTCCTCCCCCTCGAGTCAAAGCGGTCAATGTGCAAGCATGTGACATCTGAAGGATCGGTCAAGGCGTGTAACCCGAATGACGCAAGGCTCCACGTGGAGACCAATCCCTGCAGATCGATGGGGAGCGTGCTCTTTTGTTCGCTGCAGATGTAAAGATGCAAAGGGCATCCTTGGGCATTGTGGTCCACCACCTTCATGGTGCCCTCCTCATCCAGCCGGCTTTCCCAACAACAGCTGAGAAAAAAGGGATTTGTTTGCTGAAGAAGATGATGAGCAAAGTCAACCACATCATGTTGCCGAAAAGGATTGGACCAATTGGCTAGGAGTGAGGTCCACTGCCCATCAGACCATAAAAGAAGCGGTTGCCCTTTGGACACATCTGTCAATTCCCCAAGAACCCCAGGGAAGTTGGACCATTGATCCATCTTCAACCCGTCAGCATGAAGGGCACTCCAGGCTAGTCCAGTCACAGCTGAGTTCATGTAGCATGCTGCAGCTGGGTTCTGAAGTGTCCGAAGAGGAGGAGTGATGGGTTCCATCACAGTTGATCCAGCATTTTGCCCAGGTGCTGAGCGAGTGGTGTCCGGTGGATGCTGGCCGAGCGCATCCTGCCCAACACTAGTTGCCATAGCCCAGAGTGACTCAGTTGGTGCCACAATCCCCGCATCTCGTTGGCATGAGGATGAACCAGGGCCAGTGTTATTCTCCAGGGGATGATGGCTGAGGGTGTCTCCGACTCCGTGGTCATTACCTTCTGGATGTGCTGTGGAGGGCGGAGTGCTCCGAATCTCTTGACCAGAGCTTCTTGCTGAAGTAGAGTGAGCATCCTTGTCACCGTCTGGGATGCTTGGGTCAAGGTCAGAGGAGCGTCCTCCTGAGCCTCCATCGCCTGCTTGCTGGAATTCCACTTCATACGAGGAAACATGTATGATTCGGGCTTCTCTGGCTCGAGCTGCAAGAAGTTCAGGCGTTGCAATGTCTGGATCAAGGGCTCGGAGGAGCCCGTGGATTGAAGTTTCTGAATCCTCTTCAACAATTCCTCCAGGAGGGTCTTCAGGACCAGGATCCGGAGTGGATGTGTCCGCTCTGCCTGTGGTGTCTGCTGCCAGGTCTGTGTCTGGGCCATCGTGAGAGGAATCACTGAGCCTGGACCCACGCTCAAAAAACAAAGAAGTCCGTCTCCATAGCCAGGCATTGGAGTGTATCTTCGTGCCGAAGGACGAGTCGGGTCATGGCTTGAAGGAGCGTCTTTGTATCTTGTGTGGGTTCGTCCTTGGTGTTCAGGATCTTCCCCTGGCCTCTTTTTCCTTTTCCTTTGCCCGGCCCCTTCCCTCCATTCGACATGGAAGACCTCGGGCGCTTTGCGCTCTGCTTGTCCTCGTCCACCTCCATCTTCACCCATTGGTTCAGAGCTCTCCACATGTCCGAGATCTGGTTGTCCCCCATGTCCATGGTGGAGGATGGCAAGCAGGCCGGACAATTGGAGGAGAACTGGACACTGTACTGCGGTGGGGTGGTTGCTGCAAATGGAACATGTTTGCTGTCGTTTTTGAGAAAAGGACAGAAACTTGTAAAACAAGGCACCACGATTCCCTTGTTTGGAGTGGTTGTTCCAAATGTGTTGAAGCATGTCTCTTGGGTCGACTTGTCTTCCACATAAGCAGCACCATGTACTGAGAGCGGTGCAAAGAGCGCTATCCGTCAGAAGCTCTTCAAAGTTGCCCGTCGTGAGCATGCTGTCCAGGTCCGGAAAGTTCAGGGCCAGCGTGGGGCTAAGCACTTGGAGGTCCAGCCGCAGTGCATGTGCCAGGATGAGTTCATCGCTAGCATTCTGAAGCTTGTAGAGGTCGTGGTGAACAAACAATGCCAGCTGCGTGAATACGGTGCAAACATGTGGTGTCGAGGGTGGCCTGAGGCAGGAGCAGGCCAGGTTCCGTAGAGCACTGTCGGTTTGGAGCCATTCGGCATAAGAAGAAGCCATGGTCCAGGTAGTGGCATGCGCCGTGCTCAGGTGCTTCAATAGGGATGATGAGCTGGATGATTGATGTCCACACAGTCCGCAAATGTAGCCCAGTCTGCGAATCAGTGATTTGTAGGCCATCAGGTGATCGTAAGTTCCTCCATGCAGGCCTGAGATCACCAGTGGATGATGCCAAAGAAGAGGAGGAGCATCTGGAAGGGGTTCAGGACATTGGCCACCGTCAATGTGGTGCCGTAAGGCTGCAAGGCAAAGGAATGATGCGCTGCAGTGAGCACACTGTGTGAGGCCTGGCACTTGATCCCTCGCTGCCATGAAGGTCCTCGTGGTCGTAGAGTGTTGATGTTCCATAGCCTGGTGCTGATTTAGACCTGCTGCCGTCACGAATTTCCGTGGGCATTGAGCACAAGCAAATTGTGCATCCATACGTTGAGGAGGTTGAAGTACTGGTGGAGGGCATGCCGGATACTGCTCCCGGTGTTTCCTGTAGGCGAGTGCAAGACCAAGCTGCTTTTTTTCACCGGACAGGTGTGTGTCTTGGAGCGGAATTCTTGTCCACAAAGTTCACATGGAGAGTTGGTCCTAGCTCGAACAACATTTGGGAGGACGTCCCCCATCATGCCGTAGATGTCTCCATGATCTCTTCCCATGTGTACAGACATTTGCTGCAGTCGTGATGACCAAAAGCCGCAAAGAATGCACCGTTGGGTCAAAAAGTAGCAAAGACTCCTGTCATTGGCAAGGGGTGCCATGTCACCTTCATCAAAGTATGCCAGCAACCGTTGTCGATGTTCTTGAAGTTGTGCTGGCCCAGCCTTGGTGGAGTCAAATTCAGAACATGCATAGGAGCTGATGTGATGCCGGAAATTCTGCCAACTTATGAAGGAGTCTCCACAGTGCCGACATGTAGGTTTCCCTTCAACTGCATCTCTAGCTATGTCCAAGGCGGGACCAGCGCCATGCAAAATGCCGTGAACAAACAGTTCATGTCGTCTCAAGGTGTAGAGAAACTGAAAAGTCTGCCCACATTGGTGACAGTCCAGTCCTGCCTCTGCCAGTGGAAGCTTTGGTTGAAGATCCAGATCTCCAAGGTCCTGAAGCCATGTGTCAACAAGGTTGATTGATGTGCCCAAAGCATGGAGATCAAGATGTTGGAGGATGTCATGAGCCTCAAGAAGTTGAATCCGGTCCTCATGCCTCTTCACCTGAGAGGCCATCCGCTCCCGAAGCAATAGCGCCGGGTGCCGAAGGTGGTTGTCGGTCAGAAAATCAAGGTGAGTGGTGTGAGTCAGAAATGAATGATCTCCGGCTGCTTGTCTTAACATTGTCGTCATGGTCTTGGAGAACATAGGAATTGAGGCGTGATCCACACCTGTTGCATCCAATCCGTAGACTCCTATGGGAAAAATGCATGTCTGCCACAGAGCCACCTTCTGAGCCGAGTGCATGCCATTCTTTGTGAACCAAGGTTGCATCTGCTTGAAACGAACTTTGCAAGCTTGAAGACGTGCTTTCATGGTGTCTCTTTGAAAGTTGTGGTATCCCATTTGGACTCCCAAATATTCGTGCTTCTCAGTGATTGGTATTGCGTGTGAGCCACCTTCTGCCTTTGGAATGAGCAAAACCGAGCGATCCAGCTGCTTTTGCACGAAGCGTTTCTTGGCTAGACTCTGATGTTTGCCGCCCCAGCGAAGGATGACTGCTGATTTCTGCATGTTCACCGTCATGCCCATGCGTTCAAGTACAGAGATAAGTCTGCCAAGGAAAACAAGGCCTTGTTGAAGTTCCTCAAAGGTTCTGAAGACAAAACATGCATGACCATCATCCGCATAGAAGGTGCAGTGTTTCCGCATCCAGTCCTCTGAGGTTTCAGTCGCTACCATTTGCAGAATTAGTGCAATGAAACTGGCCCAGAAAAAGGGGGCACCCCTGCAGCCTTGTCGAACTCCCCTGAAGGTAGCCTGTTCGGCTGAAATGCCTTTCCACTGAATAATGTATGAGGTTTCGGTGTGCCACTTCATCAAAAGAGATGTCATTTCATTGGGGAGACCAAGGAGAGAGAATGCTGCAGCGAGGTGTTCCCTCGGCATTGCGTCAAAGGCTCCTGTGAGGTCCAGGAAAAGTTGACACCCTCCAAACAGAAGGGGACGCTTCCCTCCGTGCCCGTTCACTTGACTGGCGTCATATCTCCAACGACGATGAAGCTCTGAAACCTCCCGAGAATGAGCTTGAACCCTGGTGATTGCTTCCCAGGTTCCCCTGCCCGGCAGGTAGGCGAATTGTGGAAACCATGTCAGTGCTGGGAGTGTGATCTTCCTGGCTTCATGTACAAAAAGAGACATGACTGACTTGGAGAGAGGGGTCTGAAGAGCAATTGGCCGAAGTGCTTTTGGTTCAGTTGGAGGTTTGTTTGGTTTGGGCAGTAGGACCACCCAGCCTTTCCTCCATTCATGGGGAATGATGCCAGAGTACATCCATTGTTCCAGCCAGGTGAAGACCAAGGGCCCAACCGAGAGAGCCAGCGCCTTCCAAATGAAGCTAGGAGCAATGTGCTGAGGAACACTGGTGCGTCCATAGAGACCTTGTAGTGCGTGAGTGAGATCTGTGGCATCAAAGGGTAGAGCTTCAAGTTGGAATTGAATGCCCGTGAGGTCCGAGCCTGCATAAAGGTCGGCCATGTAGTCTTGAATCCAACAAAGTTCCTCCTCTGGTGCCATGAGTTGTCCTTCAGAACGACGAAGTTGAGGTCGAGGAGGTCTGACTTTGGGGGTGAGCCGGTTGACCACCTTGAAGTACCTGTGCGATGCGTTGTTCGCCCAGTGCCGCCTAGCCTCTGCAATTGTGTCGGAGAGCTTGGCTTTTTTGGCAGCCTTGGCTCTTTGATTAGTGGTCCTTTTCCATCGTTGAATTTTAGCTGCTTTAGCCCAAAGCCCAAAGAGCTGTTGAAGTCTGCTGGTAAAGTGAGTCCTTGTAGCAACTGTTGGGAGAGAAAGGCCAGGATGGCCATCCGCCCAGGTCCAGAAGTTGGAAGGACGATCTTGTTGACCCCTGGATAGAGGAGCAAAGTCTTTGCAGCCATCAAGAAGGACTGTATTGAGGGCTTCCAAATCCGGAGGTTGATCCCAGAGTAGCCCAATCTTGTGCTCTATGGAGGAGCAAAGAGAGTTCCAGTCCTCGCTCTGAAGTTCCCAATGTCGTAGGAGAAGGTCATGTTGTCCACGAGAAAGGCCAGAAGCGGGTTTGGCCCAAGCTCTCCATTTGTAGGGAACGGTGAAGAGGATGGGAACATGGTCTTTGGAGTGACCAAACTTCTGAGGGAGCTCATCCAGGTAGACGGGCTTCTTGGTGAGGGAGTCGCTTGATTTATGCTTGACCAAGACAAAGTCAATCCTGGATTTGTTGGAGTGCCCTCCGGTGTAGGTGGGGCCCAGGTTGGTGTCCCAGGTGTTGATAGCCGTGAGGCCATGCTGAAGAAGAAGGTCTCCAAGGAGATTGGAGTCCGGATGCCTTGGCCCGGAGCGTCGCCCCTTGTCATCCTGAAAGTCGCTAAGGCCTACACAATGCGGAGTCCGGTGAAGGCTTGTGTTCAGATCTCCCCCAAGGATCACCACATTCCTCTGAGGCAGCCCAGCTACGAGCTGTTTGCAAGCATGTAGCAGTGCTCGTCGGTGCTGAAGGCAAACAGGATCATTCTGGATCCAGGCATGTTGGTAGGCATTGATGATGTCAATGCCCGTGGAAGGAAGGTAAAGTCGAACATGTAGTAGTCTTCCAGGAACCACTGCACGCCATGAGATCCTGAGATCACAGAACCCTTTCCTGATGATGGTCATCATCCCGCCAGTTTTCCCTGTGGAGCCGCTGTGGATGTAGGCATAGTGTTTGTCAGACCAATCACCACTGAAGCCCCAGCGAGTATCCTGCAGAATCATGATGTCAAGGTGTTGTGAGAGCATCCATTGACGAAGAATGTCAAATTTGTAGTTGCTGAGTGAACAAATGTTCCAGCAGAAACCTGTGAGCCGATTTTTCCGAACCTTTGCCCGAGGAGGAGTATTGGGTGTCTGAGAGGAGCTCAAAGTGTCCTGTGGCCTTGGCTGTGGAGTTTCGTCAATGCCCAACATGGCAGCCGTGAGGAGGCGTCCACGATACCAGGTGTGCCCATGTAGGTGAGCTCGTTTGAGTGCACGAATATAGGATTTTTTCCTGTGCTGAGGGTTTTGGTGTTCCAGATGTCCAGAGGTAGGTCCAAGGCCACTAGGCTTCGCCATAGAAGGGTGTTGTTGGGCCAAGAATGATTTGGCTCCCCCGAACCTCGTGGCAGGTCCGGAACCCTCAGGCCACCAGGGCATGGCGTTGGCATTGAGCATGGTCATGAAGTCGGCGAGGTAGACCCCAAAGAGGCTGCCGAAGAGGAGGAGGTAGATGCCAGCCCTGGCTGGGGACTTGGGACCCCAGCTAGCTCCAACCGTGGGTGCAAGGACCTGGGAGGTGATTCTCTTGGATCGGAATCGTTGCCTGCTCAAGGTAGACGTGTGCTTGTAGTACTCAAAATTCCGAAGGAGAATCAGGGAGGACACCTGAGCAAAGAGAACCACCGTCAAAATGACCGCACCAGCTTCAGGGACAGGCAGGAAGAGAGGTCCTGGTGGGTGTCCTGCAGAAAGCCGGATAAAGTGCCGGTACAGGAGGTCCACACCGTGCGAGGTGGTCTCAAAGTCCAGGATGACCATGCAGCTCGGGAGCCGCACGAGCCCGCACCTATTGAAGGTGTAGGGCTTGAGAGCTAGTGGCCCTTATCATCATCATCATCATCATCATCATCATCATCATCATCATCATCTAAGCATTGACCTGCTTCAGTAGCAGGATGGCCCATGCCCGACAGGCACATTTGCAACTTCGAGATGGAGGTGGTGGACTCTCGGAAATCATGCTGCCAGAACGCCAGGACCGGGGATTGGCCATTTCCCTCCTGGTACGGGGAACTGGCAAGAAGGGAAAAGGGCTTATATATATATATGTATATGGATCGTAATGGATCAATGCTTCATGAATCTCATGAAAGGTTGCCAAGCATGTAATGTTTGTAGTGTCGACGTAGGATTAATCACCCCCAACTCCCCCCCTTCAAGGTCAACAAGGTTTGAGATTGGAGGGATTGCAGACCACATCCCCCTGATAAAGGTGATGACCTGATGATGGATGATAAGACGATGACCTGGGCCTGATGATGGATGATGGTTCATGGGATTCTGTGTAGATCATGAGAGTTTGAACCAAGAGAACCCTGAGAGCTCTTAGTATATTGGCACAAGCTTGATACCATGGACCAGAAAATATTGAGTACTGACAAGTAAATCAATGTAGTTTAAACAGATATAGAGCTATATGTTTCTTTTTCTGGGGGGGCAGCTGGGGTGATTGCTATGCGGATTTCGGGTTTCTCATTAGTTCAATATTGGGGGTTGATTAATAGGGGAGGATAGGTTGACATTAAGGTTCGCCGGACGAAAACGACACCAGCAAAAGTGAGAGAAGTCGAAATTCTGCAGTGAAGAAGGTGCTAGGATACACATGGGAAACACATGTTTTCGAAACAGCCCCTGTCAAGATGTATAAGTTGACGACCGTAAATCATGATTTTAGAATTGCTGGTGTTCAATGGTGTTCATCTCCCCAGACAAGGTGTGGTTTCATGGTTTTGCATATCACATTTCCTGTTGAAAAGACTTTAAACATACCGCTGGGCACAGTAAACATGGACGTTACACTTTTACATTGTACGTCGCAGTGCGTTTGCATGGCTTGGAAAAGCCATATGTTTGAGCCCTTTTTGGCCAAGCAGTGGTCCCGAAGGTCAACCACTATATTTGATCTTACAGGATGTGCTTTCATCTCCCCAGTCCAGGTGTAGTTTCAGGATTCTTGCACTTGTTTTTCATGTTGGGAAATGTAGAAAATACAGGATATAGTCTATTGCTACCACAAAAGGCTGCAGCAGTCATGCAGCTTTGTGTTTTCCCCTGCGCTCGATTTCAAGTTTGCCACAGCGCTTGTTTAAATGCATCACGCTGCATCACGCATTGTTCGCACGCCTCTCGAAAGATCGCGAGGGTCCTCGATCAAGACCCGTTCCGAACCAGGTTTCTTGTTGAGGTAGTGAGCTGCAAGGAGGTTCCTGTGATCGATAGTGTCGCTGGAATCATTGAGCACAAGGTTGTACTGTCTGAGCTCTCGCTTGCACCGTCTGAGACCGCGCTTTCCAACATTTGGAGGCGACTCTGCTATCTGATCACCGCGTCGCAACATAAACAAATCGTTCTCGTTTTTGCTGTAATGTGCATCAACTATACACGTTCTTCATGTATCGTCTCGTAGACAACGATGTCTTCAAGTTACGTAGGCATGACGCAATGATCATCCGTTTTTTAATTCTAAACACTGAAAACATATATATTATATATATATATGTTAAGACATATGAAGACATTAGATTTAGATACTGAGCAATACTACCCCCCCAGCCCATCCCCCCATTCAGAGCATCGCGCACTGTTCCGTTACCATAATCGAGTAATTACCTCAAACCACAACAGCGAACCTACATCTAAAAGATTCTAAGAGGCTCTTGAGTGGACATGGTTGCTTCTAGGATCGCTTTAAAGTCCCTGGAGAACCCTCCGTCCACTGCCTCTTTTGTGCCCTGCTTCGTCGTTGCAAAGCCCCGGCATCGAATTTCAAGAGTGGAGAGGCTTTTTGCCTTCCAGGACCTCCTAACTCAATGGGAGCAGGTGGATAGTGCCTGGCAGCAGGTGAGGGGCTACCTCCGCACAGACGCTTGGGTTTTGTTATGCGTGTTTGGGATATGTCATTCAGATTCAGGAAGCAAGCGACAAGCGACTGAAACCAAACAAAAATCGTGGCCTGATGTTGTTGTGGTGCACCCTGTTCTATCATGACCCTTGGTCCCAACCAATCTTTTGCCTCTCGGAAGCCGTTGGTTGGAGCGTTGGTTGGTCCGCGTTTCGACCATCGAAGCAACAGGTAGGCATCGATCCTCCAAATTCCTGTGCTGTGCTGGTTCTGGTTGGAGTGGTCTCTCCCTGGAAGCACCACCCCCCAAACAAAACACGAGCAGATGTTATGATACATCGACCAAGATCGCACCGCATTTCTGCGATCTTCGCGCTCTGAGGATCCAATCTCCCGGTTGGAAAGCGCCATCCTTCAGTTGGTCGCTGAACTCACCAAGATCATTCCCCTCTATGCCATGATGGATGTGAAGGCGAGTGAGAACGGGGACAGAGTCCCTCGTACAGGTGGACGAGTGGATAGGATTAATTAGATGTGATGAAGCATACATCGCTCGGAGAACGCTCCCATGCAACATGTGAACCCCAAATGCTGGCCTATAGATGCCTATAGCATCCCATATAATCCCATCTATAGTTATATTGTATATATTGGCTGACTGCCAGTGACCCCACAACCCTCTGAGTGAGTTCCCCAGCTCTTCGCAGCTTTTGGGCCGGGTTTCGACGATCGTTCGTCATCCAGATCTCGTCATCGTGTCAGGATCCCGACACCTTTCCCTGGCCCACTCTTGTGTACAGCATCATTGGGGCGCTCATCTTGAGTTGCTGCTGTGTGATGGTCATCTTGCCCTGGGCCCTTTCCCGGCGCCGGGCCACGAAGACGCCACACAACGGAGCCACCGTGAGAAGTGCGGCGGATGAGGTTTGAGAGCCATGGCTGTTGTGGAGTTGTGCAAGCCAACAGTATCACATGTCTAAAAGCTATGTTGGATCCAAAATAGACCCCCCCCTTCCTAGGTGAGACAGTGAGTCGAGTCAACCCAACCGAAATGTGTTTGTTCTCCTCATCGTCGTCGTAGTACTTGGTGGTGGTAGTAGTAGTCCTTGTCGTCGTCGTCGTAGTGGTAGTAGTACGTAGTAGTACGTAGTAGTACGCAGTAGTAGGCAGTAGTAGTAGTAGTAGTAGTAGTAGTTGTTGTTGTTGTTGTTGTTGTTGTTGTTGTTGTTGGAGCAGCAGCAGCAGCAGCAGCAGCGATAGCGATAGCGATAGCGATAGCTATAGCTATAGCTATAGCAATAATAATAGTCGTAGCACCATTTAGAAAACAACAACCTCAGACGTTGTTTCCAGGGCTCCAAGTTTGCGCAGATTATTCCCTCCCCTTTGACAGTCCCCGCCCCTTGACAATTTGAGTTTAAACATTCACTTTGACAAAAAAATAGTGTGCTGTGTGGAGGCGTTTCATTCAAGCGTATTCAAGTGTCATAGTTGCTCAATGCACCCAGGTGTGCAACAAATCAACAGGATCCCGTTTGATAAACCACTGTCGCTATATGTTCAGGTGTGCTAAACCGAATCGTGGCAGCTCAGGAAAACCTTTGACATCCTCCTCAAGTCTTTGAATGCTAAGGGTGGTCCTTAGAGGCCAACCGGCATCTGGGGCCACCGAGACCTCGATCACTCGATCGGCTGATGTTGACCCAGGTCACATGGGGACCCGGGTCAGGGAACTGCCGAAAACATGGGTGGCAGCTCCGGAATGGTGGACGTGTTCTTTCTTGGTTTTCCTATGTTGGCCGACAACTATTTTAGACTATGTTAGGGCGATAGGCCCACCATGACCTGCTCAGAACTGTTGCTCACAGTCCGTCATTTTTGTTGCACATATATTGACTCTTTTTCCGTTATAGCGGCCATAATTACATATTATAGTTAAAGCTTCAAGACTTGAGATTTACCACCGTAATTATGGAGCCTTTGCGCCACCCTGAGCTGATTTGCGAAGCAACGCTCATTTGTCCAACTGACTTTGGTTTAACCTTTCCTACGGCGTGCAGCTGTGTCCATGACATGTTGCAGATTTCTAGGTTTGCGGAAGTGAAGTCAATGGTCCTGGCGCGCTGGGCAACAGTCCTGGCGCGCTCAGTCGAATTGAGCCACGTTTTAAACCTCAGTTGTCATGTCAAGTAAGGAGATCCTTGTAAGGACCTGTGGCGTAAGCAAAACACTAGTGGGCGTAAGCCCGCGTAAGCAATTTTAGCCAATGTTGTTGGCGTAAGAGATTTTTCGTGATTTGTGAAATGGCAGTTTTGGACAAAGAACCTTTTATATTCCAAGCTTACAGCTTAAACATACATCCATGGGATCACTGTCAGGTTGCTGGATATTTGTTTCCTCAAGTGGCGGCAAGCTCCATGCTGCAGGTTGAATGTGATTCTGATGATTCTGCAAGATTGAATTGCATGGAAAATGAAATCATGATAAAGCCCGCAATGAAAAGGATTGTCCACCAAGACAAGGAGTTTCAACAACTGCACTGTACTATCGGATGGAAACAGCAACACTGTAATGTATGGGCCGATAGTGTCATACCTTTTTCAAGCCCTTCACCTCCAAACTTTGTTTCCGGGTTGGAAGCCAAAATCCGCGTAAGGTCCGCGTAAGCGGCGCGTAAGCCAAAGCTGCTTTTGTCAGTAGTTGCCCATGTCTCCCAAACACAAATCATTTTCGCAACTTGGTGCAGAGCGCCAGGGACTTGTCGCAAAGACCGTCTCGGACATTTTGGAACAACATTGCCCTTCTCTGGATGAAGCACACCTCTTGCTGAACAAGGCTTTCTCTAGATGTCAATCTGTCCTTCCTGGCCTGTCCGCTATCAGTGGTGCCCAGTCTGTCTGTCATGCCCACGCGCTCAGCAGAGGTGCTGCCAAGAAGCGTCGTCAACTTCGTCATCTGCGGGCTTCTTCTGTTGCTGCGGCTTCATCGGCTTCATCTTCTTCGTCCACGTCATCATCTTCTACTGCTCGATGCTGCCTAGAAACGCTGCGGTTCCTGCAGGTAAAAGTTGCTGCGCGTAAGCTGGGGCTGTGGCCGGGTACTAAAAATGTCCAGCGTAAGGTCTGCGTAAGCCGGTTTATTCCGCGTAAGCAAAACTGTGCGCGCGTAAGCAAAACGTAAGACGCGGCGTAAGCGTTGCATTGTTTGGTGCCGGGATATAAGACGTTTACAACACAGTTCAATTGAATTCCATTCGGCGAGCCCACATTCCATTCGGCGAGCACCCCGTCAACATGACGGGGTTTTCTCTTTTTGCGCATCAGGCCCCGCGCTTGGCAGCTCAAAGAGCTTTCCATTTTCGCTGGAGGCAGTTCCGAGGTCGCCGAAGGCCTCTGATGACATGACACCTCATGCATCCTCGTACCTTGATCAGATCCGTGAAGTCCAACGGTCGCATTTGCGTCGCATCCTCGGAGAAATTCGATCGGAAGCCTTCGATGGGTTGGAGGCCCGGGCGGGCACTGCAAGGCCTCCGGAGCTAGCCGCTCCAGCAGAGATCAGCGCGAAGCGTTTGACAGTCCAGCAAGAATCAACTGCTGCGCTCCTTTGAATGTGCCATGCCTAAGTTCATGGCCGTTGCATAGCCTGTGCAAATAGAGGACGGGGAGAAAGTAAGGAGAATTGGCACGACTTCAATTCAATTGTTGCCTAAAAATGTGGGAGTCTCCAAACTGATCAATTTCATGCATTTGGAGTTCGTTTGGGTCTTCCACACGCGACTTTGGATCTTGCGATTTGGGTGGTTTTGAGCTGAGCCTCAGTTGCTTTTAGGTTGCATCATGCCCTAAGTAGGGTGGCTTTGAGATATTTTTGGGGTCGATGAAGAATGTAATTAGATGCATGATGATGCATGTATATATATATATATTCCACACATGAATTCCTTTGCCGCTGACCACGGGCCATGCGACAGACCACGGTCCTTTTGCGCGGGCACGTTGCTGAGAACGGCAGGCAGAGGTCCGCGACGGCCAAGGAGGAGTACTTTCTGCAATGGGATGGTGATGAAGTGGATCTTCTAGGGGCGACTTGACATCCACAGATCTGGGAGTGCAAATGGTTCAATGAATGATCATGAAGGTTCGATGCGCATGGCCACCAGGAAGACACTTTTTTTTTTGACCACCTGATGAGCACACCTCAAACGCATGATGGGTCCATTGGTTCCGAGGCATTTTGATGTGATGCTTGCACTCTACACCTGGTTTCACCCACATCTCTTCAGATTCAAAAAATAGCCAGGGACTTAGCAGGGACCAGATCCAACCTCGGGACCCCGGGCTCTCAGAACGCAGCGAAAGAACCTCCTTTGCTGAGGAGTTGGACCTCAGAAGAGGCGGCTGGGGAGTTGGTGAACGGCACTACATCTATGTCTATGGCATATTAACACACATGTATATATATATATGTTTACAATTACCCTAGTCTGTGGGGTGGTTTGTGTCAACTTATCATGTCATTGCAGATCCACAGCAGATCCATGAGTTTCCATCGGCTTTCGGGCGGTCAGTGGAAGCTTGAAGACCACCACTCCTTCTTCAAACGGTTGGCCGTTTTAGGCGGAGCAAATGGGTAGTTTGGGAGCAAGAACAGTGGCCTCTGGAGCCGTCCTTACGCCTGAAGCATCCTGGAGGATCCTGCACCTGGCCTGCTGAAATTGGATGAAATTGGCTTCTCACCACTGAAGGCGTTGCATTTTCGTTGACCTCACATTCACCCTCCGCAGGTCAAGGGAGATGCTTGATACGAAGTGTGCGCCCATCTGCTGAGGGCTTGGGCCTGCAACCCGGCGACGAGGCGCTTTTCCGGAGCGGTAGAGGCGGGCGTTGTGTGGATGGAGAATCACAGGATCAAGAGGGGCAGCGACTCAGGTCTTTGGCTATTCTTGTTGGGCAGTTGGGCCACTTCACATTGAATGGACATTTCCATGGCATTCACAGTTAATTAACTTATATGTTTGTTTGCCCTATGCGTGGAGTCCGCACACGCGGCAAATGAAAAACGCTGTGCTGGCTATTGTAATGAGGACTCCAGGGTTCTCGCAAGCCCCAGTGAATTGCTTGTAATTTGGAGTAATTGGCCAAGGGAATCAAGGGTTCTTAGGAGGCGGAGGTGCTTGGGATGCCAAGAACTTTATCCTTTCTCCGGGCTGCCCCGGAAGATGGGCAGAAACCGACACTCTGGCATTTGACCTATATCATTCATGATCATGAATCTATAATAATTGTATATAATTGTCATCCATCATCCTCGACCTTATCCATATATAATATATATACCTATAAGATCCTTAGGCAAGAATTTCTGCCGACCCTCATTTGAGCTCTCATGAACGCCTACTTCAAACACGAACGCCTATTTCTTTGAAGAACGCCTAAACATGCGTGATACCAGTTGATGCTTTATACCTCACTCTTTGTTGACACCCGGTGCTGTTTGGGAGAAACCTTGAGCACCCTGTCCCGCCAACACTTCGGCTTCATCCTCGCGCCTGGAGCCCCAGACTGAAACCGCAGGTGGTGTTTGTGTGTCCGTATGTATTCCTTGGTGTGAGTGTGTGTGTGTGTTTGGGGGAGGAAACCCTGAACTGGCCAAGAGGTTTCCGGAGAGGCTTGCACTGTTTGTCCCCACAGCTTTACCTGAAGTCTCGGGCTAGTTTCTCTTTGGAAGTGCCCACATCTCAACAAATTTTAGTTCGTCCACATCATCGCTTAGGCCGGCTTCTGTTTAGAAGTGCCCTTTTTTTGTAAAAGTATCTCTGAAGGATTCTGCACGACAAGCCTCTTGCGCTCAACTGTCTTGACAAGCGCGCAACCAAACCCACTGTATCCTCATTCTGCTTGCAAGCAGTAGAAATTGGAGAAAGAATTTGGACAGCCCCACGTTGGAGAGACCTGCGAAGAGTGTAAGCGACATGATGGAGTGCATGGACCTTGGGTTTCAACCCGAAACCAGTCAGCTTCATGTCATACACAATTCGGGCTAGCTTCTTGTACCCCCTGAGCAAGCACATCAGCTTTACATAGAGAATTTGCCCACAAGGGCGTGATAGCCAAAGACCATGCGAATGCATGATGCCAAAAGCATCCAGGGCAGAATCCACTGTCGCTGTAAATGTTTTCAGCAAGCGGTGGTTTGACTGGGCCAAGCCATCGTTTGATGAAATTCGAAGCCCTACAAGCCACCTCAGGAAGCGCAAGACTAGCATGGAATCACTTCCCTTCGTGTTTGCCCATGCAAAACTTGCCTTGGTCTTGACGTTGAAAAAACGCTTCCCAAATGAACGAAGCCCAGGCGTAACACGCTCTGATGCGCACCACAAACTGAAAAGGCCGTGTGCAGCCTCCAGTCGAAGCTCCAAGTTCTTGCTCCGGCGGTCGGACGCTTCATCCTGGCTTGTGAGGATGACAAAGAAACATGTTGAGGTTGCCCTACTTTGCTAGTAGCTTACAAGAAAAAAAGGTCAGCGTTGCCTTAGCTCAAGCCAGTGGCAAAAAATTGTAGCTTTGCCATCGTTACAATCATGCTGCCGATGAGGTCTCGAGCTATTCCAACCTTAAAGACATGGAACACATCCAATGCGAAGGCCAGTTCTGGCGCAACTGGATTGTAGGGCACCCTCGATAGTTCTGGAGGAGTTTCCCAAGGTCTTGAAACTCCCATCGTAGCTGCCCAATCTGGCTCGTCCCGCGTGTCTTCAAAGGCTGGTAGTCCAAAGTTGGCAGCCCCAGCTTCACAAAGTGAGCACATCATCCCCCCTCTAAGTTTGTGGTATGACCGTGTAATGCCTATTTGGACCATGTGCTTCATATCACCTTTCACGGCGCAAAGCGCTCCAAAGATCTGTTCGCCTGATTTCAATGTAACCCCATCCCAGAACAAGGAGATCATGTCATTTGACAAAAGTTTCAAATGCTTGTCCAAGACCTCGGGGTCTCTGTACAGGCAAGCAGGCCACCCAAACAGCATATGGCGAGTTACATACGAGTGGCCTTTATAGTTTGTGCTTTGCAAGGCAACACGGTGCAAGAGGTCTGGAGGCAAAGGGGTCATGACCCCATCAGCACGACATGTGTCAATACCAGCTGCCTCCATTTTTGAAACCTCCGAAGCACAGCAGCAAGCAAAATCTTTCATGTCTTGCAAGCCAAGCAAACACTCCACTGACCACACAAGGAACTTGTCACGTTTGGGCCCACGACCCTCATCGCCAAACAGGGCCAATGGAAGAACTTGGTGGAGGTCGTTTGCATGGTGTTGGAATACCACATGTTGAGGGTTGTTTTGCTCATATGCCGCCCAGAAAGACCGGAGCTGCAACGAGCGGTCCTGACACTGTCCAACCAAAGCATATGGCGCCTTGTTCATCAGGACCTTCACCCATTCACTGGGTTTGATCCAGTGGGTGGTGGTCTTACCATTCTGCAGTGGGTGCTCTACTCTCTCTATGTTGACTGGCATCGACAGGCCAAGCCGGGCAAATCTGCTGTGCATGTCACGACTAGCATTGCACCTGCTTTTCTCATGGAAGCAGCGTTCGTCACGCAACAGCTCAACGTCAGCCCGCCCAACCCTCGAAGAGTTTCCAGCTTTGATGGCTTTCTTCACGTACACAGCGTTGACCTGAAACAAACTTACACGCTGGCTTGTTTAGGCTAGAGCGCTGGCCCACAAACCCACAAAAAAAAGTTGAGGCTTGAGGGCACCACCCCATCTCCAAAGGATTCAGCCAGCGCAGCATCCAACGTCTCCACTGGTCGCTCATCATCATCACCTGCGAACAACTACAAAACCTTACTTTGGTGTCCCCAAAACTTACCCGTCTGTATTCTTGTTATGTCAAGCCCGGATTAATAGACTCACCTTAGTTTGGCCCGCCCAAAGATAAACACCTGGAAGAGATGTAGTCTTGGGGGTCCATTTCATTTACAGTAATCCGGGTTCGACGTTGGATGTTCCAACCTGCAAAGGATCCAAAAAGATTGCAGTCTAGTAGTTCCTTTCTGGGCGACTAGCAAACAGCTGCACTGCAGAATGGCGGAAGAGACCCCGAGACCCCTTTTCTTTCTCACCCAGACTGAGGAGTCGTTTGTAAGATGAGACATCGAAGCTCATAGTCCGATCCAGGTCCAAAACGCCCAGTGGCATTTCAGCCACTAAAGCTGACCACCCAACGAAGTACATGACATGTTTGCCAAGCATGTGGCTTTGCCACTATGAGTCACCCCCACGCTGACGCTTTGACGCAGGGTGTGTTTTGCATCTGCCCTCTTACCTTTGGGGGGCTTAGGGGCACTCGCTTTGGCTTTGGTCTTGGCCCCCGCTTTTGCGGTTGCTTTTGCACCACACCTCAAAGGTGAGACTCTGAGGTGGGATTTGATCAACTGAGAAAAGCACAAGCTGTTTTGAAACATATATATTGGTCTCACCACAGCAAAGAAAATCATGAAGCTTGAGGCTTAAGGCTGGAACTTCACACGGCGGTCCACGCACAAAGCCTCCAAGGCCCTAAGATGAAACAAGGGGAGTGGATGGGTTGAATAGCCCGGGAGCACAAAATGCTCAGGCCATGGCAGTTTCTTCGCAGAGTCCACCTGCGACCTGATTTTCTTTTGGCTCCTTGGACCCAAAACGGCAGAGAGCAAAAAGAACCTGTAAGGATAGGAAGAATAGTCGTTGGCTTGCATGCCAGGGTACTCTTTGGTGAAGCCATCTACAACTCCCGTGGTGTAGCTCTCATTCAGGGTGGCATCAGCTGACTGGAGGCCATCATATAGGGATCTGATCTTCTCAAGCAGCCTCATCCACAGCGGCCACCGATCCGACCAAATTAGGGTATACAGGAAACAAAGTTGACGAGGACATAGGGCGCAGTCTAGAAACTTCTTGTGCATTTCATTGGGGACCTCAACAGCTTCCAACGTCATCTTGTGTTCCGCCAACTTTGCCACACGCTTTTGGATAGCAACACTTACTTTGGGCACAACCGACGCAGGCTGGACCTCTTTCTCAACCATTGGGAAGTTAAGCTTCTTCATCATGCTCTCTGCCTCCTCCCCATCATCTGATGAGAACTCTTCACCATCGGAATCACCTTAGATTAATTGTGAGCACCCCCAGCCTATAGTTCCAACAACAACAATTCACCAACCCCATATCTGTTGGGTGGGAAGATATAAAGGAAGGGGTTGAACCAAGAATTGAGCCACCCCCATGACGTCCCTTCTGAGGCAAAGGGGGAAAGTCATTCTCCTCATCGGAGATTTCCATTTTTTCCTCATCGCCGCTCTCCATCTCATCCTCGATCGTGCGCTCAAGCATGGAGCGGCGCGTGTTCCTGAGCCAACGGAGCCGAAGCTCAGAACCTACGAAGAACAGCAAAGGTGATGTGAGCGGATGGGCAAGCCGTGGACAAGATGTCCTTCAACTGGCAAGATCGCTTTCAGTCAACGCTCAAGCCATTGGTTCGCGAGCTGAGCAGAGCGCTCACGCGAAGAGAGAGAGCATGACTACCTACACACGCAGAGCTTTGAGGTCGTGCCGCTGCTCATGGACAGGAAAATGCGTGGCAACATCGTTATACTACCCGGCAGAGCACCACGGCGAAGGTCCTACCGATGTCATGACCACCGTCATCATCATCATCATCATCATCATCATGATCATTGCATCATTTGTCATACCAACATCACAATCATCATCAACACCATCATCAACAACCTATCATCATCAATATCATCATCGTTATTAAAATCATCATCATATCACCGTCGGCATCACCATCATATATTTGCCATCACCAATCACCATCTTTATCAGCACAGTCATTGCACCATCTTCATCATCATCATCATCGTCGTCGTCGTCATCACACCATCATCAGCAGCATCATCATCGTTATCAGCATCAACATCATCATCCCCATCATCATCGTCATCGTCGTCCTCATCGTCCTCACCATCTTCGTCGGGATTGCAGAAGCCGCAAGTTTGTCCAAGTTAAGTTGCGCACGTCACGCCGCAGTCTTTGAATGCGCTGGTAGCATGCCTGCCAGTAAGTTCCGTTGGGAGAGAATCGCAGTCCCAAAGCCCTCAATACGGGTTAGGAAATGAAGAGACCTATAGTCTGATCCCACCCAACCTGAAGCGGAGTCCAGTAGGTGTCTTTGTAAATCTAAACAACCTTGTGTGAGCCAGGTCTTGAAGAGGGTTGAGGGCCCAAAGGTGTTGGGGGAGAGCGCTCCCAATTGGAGCCTCACTTGTGTTTAGGTGGCCTTCCACACCCTGTTGGATGTTATTCGCAAACCTGATCACCCAGAAACCCAAAAGGGCGCCTCTTTTTTTAGTTGGGACACTTCGGAAGGCACAACATGGCTGGGATGCTCTGTGCGAGGGACTGTTCTTCCCCACCCGAAAAAAAAAGTAAAAGTGTAGAGCGTGCCCAAAACATTCAATTCAGTTTCTCTATAACTATAAAATGGAACTCCTGAGCACTTCATGACCTCTATCCAAACCCACACCCCTAGTCAATAGACAGTCTCAATAGTCTCCTGAGCACTCATGATATCACTCGCATCACCAACCCCCTAAAACATACATGTTCACTACTTTCCGGACCGCCTCTTTTTTCGCTTTCCCCTGCCAGGCTCTGGGTTCAGCCTATCCTGGGTGGCCGGGTTTGCGACCCCGGGTATTTCATCTTCTTTGAGCAGTCATGACCTGATTGAAAATTACGGCTCTATAACATGCCATGTTCAGGCTTTGCAGGGCACCCTCACTTTCGAATTGCCTTTTAATTGGATTTTGTAAAGGTAAACGGTGTCCCCATTCTTATAGTGATCCATTTCACTGGCATCATTATAGCATCATTCAAAGGGGCCCATGGGCGGCCGCCCATTCGATTGAAACCCACTGGCCAGAACCGCAACCAGTACAACTTCGCAACCTTCCATCAGGTCGCAGAAGGTGCAAACCCGCCCCAACCCATCCAATCTCAGAGCAATCGATTCTGAGGTGGCAGCCCAGCTGCCTACCCTACTCATGCAAAGCATGCAGAGGCCTGGTCTGCAAATCCAAGTTTCTTTTGTTGTCCCTTTGTGCTCACCAGCGTCCAGTAGAGCCATCCTTCGCCGTAGATGCTCTTCCTGCCCCGTTGAAAACAGGTGGGCGAACCAACATGTGAGTCAAGGGGTTACATGCACCGCTTCAAAGACACACAAGCTGATCGAGCGATGGCAGTCTTGCGCCAAGAGGGCTTTCGGCTGCATCTCCGAATGACACCATTGATCTTTTTCCTCAGAGGTCATTCCAATATTGGTCCCAGGACAGGAAGAACAAAATCTAGCATGGCGCGTTTGATCCTAAAGCCAAGATTCTCAGACCAACCTTTCTCTTTCATATCCTCCACACTCAAGAACTCCCAGTTGGTCTCAAAAGAGTTTTCGGAGATCTCCTGATAGACCCTCTTGACTTTGCGAATGAACAACTCCTGGGGATTGACAGAGTATGGACACAATGGTTTGGGATGGGTGAACGTCACAAAACATAGCTCAAACATAGCTCAGTTGTGGGGTCCTTGTCGTAACCAGCTTTCTCAAACATCTTCTTGATGGTGTTTCTCGTATCTTCGCTTTCCCAATCCACCAAAACCTCTTCAGGGACCAGGGAGCTTCCATTAGCTCGACGCTTCAGGAGCCTGTTCAAGCGTGACCTAATGGCCCCATCAGAGAGCGGCTTTGGCGGTTCAGGGACATCAACCTGTTCCCCCGTCGTTTTACCACGCATTGGCTCGGTAGGCGGCGGTTCTTGGGTTTCCCCTTGCTGACGGGGAGGCTGAGGTTGTGGAGAGCCAGGCTTCTCAGCATCGACCAAGGTGTCTTGCAAGGTGGCCGCCTCTTCATTTGGAGGGAAATAGACCTGAGTTCCATGGCAATCAGCTGCTATCACATGACCCACTGCCATCAATACAAACAAAGCCCACGCAGCGCCGTGCAGCTAAGAGGCTGTAGCCTGAGGGGAAAGTGGCGTGTGGGCGTCCTTCTTGTCCTCCATCCCGTCCTCATGAGATAAGTCAAATGAATACGAAGGCTTGCCACTTCTGGTGTTTCGTCAACTTGGTCGGACCTTCAACCACATGGGATTTGGCACTTCGAGGAAACAAGGGTCCTGCGTCTCATGAATCTCAATCACCTCCGCCGGCGCCGCAGGTGGTTGCGACCTTGCCGCCAGTTGGCGAGCTTCCTGGAGTGCCTGGGTTGGAAGTTGGTGGTGAGAGGGGCTTAATAACATTCGGTATTGTGGTTCCATATATTGACTGTGCCTAGATGCAAGGAGCTTTTGCTTCTCTGCAACCATCAACTGGTATTGCGGGTCGCTCTCCAAACTCATGGTGGCGGAACGAAGCACACCCAAACCCCTGTCCAAGGTTTCTGTTGACATCTCACTTTTCCAACCACCGACCTAGAAATGGCTTCAGACCACGAATGTAAGCAAATCAAGGTGCAAAGGGCACTAGCAAACCTCATGGACTTCCATGGTTTGAGGCGCACGGGCAAGAACGCCTATTGTACGGGTAAGAACGCCTATTGTACGGGTAAGAACGCCTATTTCCAAACTTGATTTTTTTGAGTTTTTTGGAGACATTGAGGCACACTACCTTTCCACACCACACAGCTGCGCAGTGCAGAGTCAGGCTAAAGATTCTCCAAGTAAGAGCCCACAGACCCCCGAAACTCTTCAGGGATCTTCAGCTTTGAGCTCCTCTTAATGTACTGTAAACACTGGACTATGCCAGCGTCCTCCCACCGGTCCGTGTCAGGCATCTCACAAATCAGGGTTGGAAGATCCACGCGCCCCACTACCTCAGCCATGAAGACATCGGTCCCTTCCCATGAAGACAGCATGGTCTGTTGCAAAGGCCCCGAACAAACAAAGAACAGATCAAACTCTCAGGTTGAATGTCCCAAGGCTTGATAATCGACCAAGCTACCGGTTTTAGTTTGGGTTTGTCTTTGAGGAGGCTCCGGCGGAGTCGCAAGATCTTGGCACAGAAGGCAGGCGTATACTCCCTGGGTCGAGCCAAGTGAGTGGAATGATTGAAGGGACACCCAGAAGCTTTCCCAGGAGAGTTTGTGCCGGAAGAAGAACTAACTATTGAACACCAAGGGTGGTGTCTTCCACTTTCATAACTAGTTTTGCCCTTTGGTGTTTCGTGTCTTGGGGATCTCGAGGGCATGGCGTGGGAAAGCCCGTATCCTTCAGGACACGGCGGAAAGGAGAGACAGAGAGGGAGGCCAACCCCCAGGAACCACACACAAAACGTTACCGCTGCACTGGGTGATTTTGTTGAAAAATCCATACGGCAGGAAAATCAACACCTGAAAAATCGTGTACTAGCAAGCGGCCAAAGAGCTGAGTTTGTTTGAGGGCACGGGTGCCAGTGTATCCCACTGCTCCACTCTTGGTCGTGTATTTGCGAACTGTTTGGGGACCGTTCTTGATCTTCTTGGTGCTCATCTTTCCCATGTTGAGCCGCCAAACGGCAAAGCTGGTGCTCCATACCCGGGTCCGCTTATAGTTGGCATGGCCATAGTGCTTCATGTAGAACGCGGTTCTCCACATCTAGGCTAGGGTTGGGAAACACGTTAGAAACCTATCCATTTAGTCTGGGTCCCATTAAGCAGAAACCCGCAAAGAATGGAAACTGTTAGTTAGTTGCAAAGAAAAGAATCGCAAACACCTTTCTTCTTCAGCTCCCGTAGTAGCCACAAAAGCCGGTCGTGTGAAAATATCACTGAGGAATTTGGGTTTTCCACCAACGGGACCGAGCCAGCACAAATAATGAGTAAGATCACCAGGCTGCACCTAGCAGGGACATGGTCGAAAGTTGTTATTTGGTAGGGCTTCACCAATTCCACACCCAGAAAGCTACTACGGCCAGCGAAACCAGCGCAACCCAAGCTCGAAAGATTCGGAGGCCCCCCACCCCGAAAAGCGACAAGAGTGGAGCAAACATGGGGTAGAACATGGGGGAAGGACTCCCGGTAAACTGTGGCCTTGCGACCATAAAGTTACTGGACTTCACCGAATCATAGTCCAGCAGGCCCATTGGCGTGAGGAACTGGTCCCGCTTGGACGTTCCACTGTTGATGGATACCCAGCTTGAGCAGCATATGCCCAAGAGTGATATCATGCCTCCAAAAACTGAGCATAGAATCCCATGAAGAAGTAGCCTCGAAACAAAGAGGCAGCTCTTGTAAACAGTCTTTGGGTTCCACACAGTGTCTGAAAGACACACACCCTCACATGGACCCTGCCACACCCTGGGAAACCCAAACTGATAAGCAGGTAGCAGTAGCTTTCTTGACCTGCTGATGTCCACCGAGTCTTTGGTTTAAATCCGACCCTCTTCAAATAGTGACCTCCATGGACCTCAACACTAAGAGGTACCGGTACAATAACCAAAACCACTGTTTGCACCAAAAGGACGCCGAACAATAACCAAACCCAACTTCTACAACAAGAGGATGCCGGTAGCAGTAGCTTTACAGACCTGTTGATGCCCATCAAGCCTTTGGGTAAAGCAGACACCCCTCAAATTGTGACCTCCATAGACTTCAACACAAAGGATACAAACCACTTTTTCACACCAAGATGCGGATACCCTTCAAAATCCCAATTCATAAGAGCCCTACGGAGCTGTTGATGTTTTGGGTCCCGCGCGTTGTCTGAAAGACAAACACACCTCAAATAGTGACATCCATGGACCATGGACCCGAAGACGGGCCCCAAATGGAAAGCAGGTAGCAGTAGCCCTGCAGAGCTGTTGATGTCCATCGCACTCTTTGAATACTTAGCCCCCTCTAAATCGAAGTCAATGTCATGGGCTTCCGATGGAATGCCCATAGATTTTGCCAGCCGTGTGAGGCGAGCTCGGCCGGCAAAGACTTCAATCACCTCTAAAGGCTGAGGCGGGGGTGGGATGTCCAAGTAGAACACAGCCATCACCAATATCACGAACACCTCAGTGAACCCAAAAACACACTTGGTGGAAGCCATACCTGGGAGACAGTCCAAAAGAAGAACCCTTTGCAAATGAGGATATACGGACTGGGGTGGGTTTTCCGTAAATGCACTTCGTGTTCATTTTCTGGGTCAAAACACAAACAAGCACTTTGGGTGTATTTTGTTGTTCCATCGATAGGATAGGGCAAGAAGTTGCCTTCGGAGCATTGAAGTAGATCAGCCGCCGAACAGTGCATTGGAGCTCAGCTGGGGTCATGGCAGCGAAGCACACACACAAACGCGACCAGAGTGCTTGATGCTCGTGGAAACGAGGCCCACCCACGGATACTGGACAAATGGTTGATAGTTTTACGGCTGTATTACTTAACCACGTTGGGTGATTGCAACCCACACAGCTGCCACAGTTTCAAGTTTCATGAACCTTCCAAGTCCAAAGCCAACCCATCGACCAGGCTCGCCTCCTACATGTCCACGGGCAACGAAGCAATGAAGTCCTTGAGGCATTTCCAGCCAAGGTGTACCTGGAACAGGTGCAGTAGTGGTGAGCACAAAGACCATGATCAGTGCTGGCAGCTCAAGTCTTGTGGCTGCTTCGTAGCCCGCATTCTTTTTTGCAGCTCAAACCCCTGTTGGTGGAATCCCACATTATGTGCCACCCACCCGTGTGAAAGGCACACAGGATCCAAACTAGTCTCGCGCATGCCAAATTGGCATGCCATGCGCCCCAGTCACAAATCACCGCCTGCAGGCAGCGCTTGGCACGGTCATCCACTCGATCAGACCTGAGGACCGATCCAGCGCAGGGCATGATGTTCCAAAACAGGTTGATTGTGATCAGTGTGACTTGAAATTTGAGTGGAGGTTGAGAACAAATAAGTCAACTAATGTAGAGTGCAGTCAGAAGACACGCTGCTGAATTGTCACAAACTCCGTGGCCCACTCCTCCGCCAAAGCCAAGAAAGCGTCTGGGCCAGCCTTCTCCTCGATCACATTGAACCGTGGGCTACAGAACTTCCAGAAGGGGTCCTGGACAAGTGACAAGCGACCAAGGCCCACCAAACATGACAAACGCACCAAACATGACAAACGCAACCGGAGACATGACAAACATGACAAAACATGACAAACAAACATGACAAACTTTGGTCCTCCAGGTGGCTGGCAGGGCTCAACACGCTCTTGACGTGTGAGGCAAAGGCTGAACGGAGAGCGAGCCACCACTGGGCTTTGACTGGGTTCTTGGGCTGGTACCGCCGGGCAAAGGATGCTGTGGGATTCGGTTTCTCATCTGCCTTCTCATGTTCCTTCTTGTTCTTCTTGCACGGTGGCTTCTCAGCCGTTGCGCTTGAGTCCTTCGCCTGTCTCTTGGTCTTGCCTTTGCCCATCTCGCCCCCGTACTTCTCTAACAAGTACTGCAGCTGCGCCCGCTCTTCATCCGCCTTGTCTTCATGGCCTCTCTTGGCCTTCCGCTTGCAAGCGGCCTTAGGTGTCATTTTCCCACCCTCCTCCTTCTCCACATCAGCATCAGTCTCGCGAGCCCCATTCTTCTTGTCTTCGACTCGCTTCGGCTTTCCTTTGGCCTTGGCCTTTGCTTCCCCTCGTGGGGCTCTGGGCTTTCCAGCAGACTTTCCAGCCGGGCGCTTCAAGGGAGGCATGTCATCATCAGGCCCATCCTCTCCATCCTGTCCTTGCTTTGGTTTTCTTCCCCCAGACATCTTGGTACGCATTTCATCTTGCATGGCCCGGTCCATGTCTACCTG